ATTCTAGAAATATGAATCTTTTTAGACATTTTGCAGATGATTTAATGGGGAACTGAACCATCGTTAGGCCTCTAACCTACACAGGACAATACAAACACAGAAAGTCGGAGGAACATATCTAGGTCCCTAGGTGAGATTCGAAACCTTCCGACCACTGTGATAGGAGCTTCATTTTATGCCTAGTTGATTAGTCTTTTATAGTTTCTGCTTCTACCAATTTTTCTTGNCAGGCCCCCAGGTGAGATTCGAAACCATGATGCCAGTCTTCGTGAGGTCGAAGGCAATACGCGAATTAGACCTTCCGGCCACTGTGATAGGAGCTTCATTTTATGCATAGTTGATTAGTCTTTTATAGTTTCTGCTTCTACCAATTTTTCTTGTTGATATGACCAGTTTTCCGTCATTGAGGTAGCCCAGACTTAAATTTACGGTATCAATTTTGAAAACCTGAACCTGCACTTGGTTTCCAGGTTTCATCGTTGGCATTTACGGAAATTAGAGTGCCGTGTAATTTCAATTTTTTTCTCACAGCTTCTTTGGGAAATTCAACATTACCTGGGCAAGCTGTATTAAAAGACGTTTCTAAGATTAACCATTTTCTGATAACCGTTGATTTCCTTTCTTTATGATCAGTATCTTTGTCATGTGCTGGTCTAGCGAGAACTTGTGAGGGTGCAATGTTCTATGTGTTGCGTTACTTTGGGCAAAGGAGAAGCTGATCATTGTGTTTATACCCTCCGAAATCTGAATATTTGTTACAGCCCCAGTCTCAATCGATTTACTGTTGCACTGTAATCCGCTATTCTCTAAATAAATGGCTATCTAGGCATGTTATATTATAAAAATAGTAACTGTTATTTTATTTTAGGATAATTAACGGACTAAACAACAATTAAAATGTTTTCCTTTTATTTTCATGCGTACCAAACCAGTCAAAAAATATCCTGCTTTTGTGGAATCCGAGGGCCCTTCGCTTTGTTTATACAAGTCCGTGGTTCGATCTTATTCTGAGCTACTTCACTCTGTTCATACCTTCACGCCCTACTTTTCTAATCTGTTTTAATACTCTTATCATTCTCTCATTTACCCTTTAGGTCTTTTCACTTCAACAAATCTGACGAAACTTTGTATAAGGTTCTTATTTCTCGCATGTGCGCTGCACATCCAACCTGTTTCTTCCCTCTTGATGTATTCAACCAAACAGCAGACAAACAGTCTCAAATGTTATAACATTCTTTGTGGATTGTTTCACATTTTAGTATGTATCTATGCGACCTCCACAAGGAAAATCGTAATTCAGAAGTATATTAGCATATTAGCGGATTACAAGCATATATTACTCGTATAGTATATATATATACACGAACAAAATAATACATAAATACGAACAAACCTGCACACATACATACATTCACACACACGCAAACAACATATATGAGTTCTATGGGTTTCAAAAATAAGAATTTTCTAAATGCCTTCAAACATAATCATAAGAGACAGACCCATCTTCTCGCCAGAGAGGATGTTACGTAAGGGCTATGATCGCAAGGGTTCAGCTGCAAAAAGAAATCTGGTCGTGATCCTCAAGGGTCTTGGCGCCTAGAAGAACTGATTTCCGACAAATCGCCAGTAGTACAGTAACTTTGACTTTGTCTTTGACTTTCAGTGAATGTGAGAGCCAGTCATAGCCAACAAGTGGTCAGTTGGGGACCAGTTGTGAGATTGTAGTCAGCCGGTAATGATGTAAGCACGGAAGAATAAGACATTTTTGGGATCCGTTGCCAGGCAACACTTGTAAAGACCGAGAAGATTTAATGCATGTTATAGAGAATTATAAAGTGCATGAATTAGTGATAACGCTATAATTACTTGTAAATACGAGTTTTTAGCTTTCCGTAAACCCGATTTCCAATCCAGACATCTTTGTCTAGTTACCAGATTCGTGACAATAATACCACAGTCTCCGTAAATGATTAGGTTATGGTGCTGAATGTTCTTTTAATGCAGAGAAAATACTAAGTATTAACTTCCCAGTTAAAGTGCCTCAATATTATTACTCTTATTGATATTACTACTTGTCTAATGCCTCCAGCACTGTTGCTGTTAAAACAGGCCTCTGCATCATCAAAGGTATCCTTTTTCATGTATGTACACGTAATGTATGTAAGGGCTGGGCCATGAAAACTGGTCCCGCACTGCGACCTTCAAAGATCTATTGTGCTTCCCCTTGGATTAGCCCTTTATTAATCCTACACTTTTAATGAAGTGTAGGACCCTGCTTTTGGGGGGGGCGTCATAAAAGTCACTCGGTTCCATAAGAACTGACCCAAGTGACGAAATCTTAAATAAGCTATGGCCTCACAATCGCACAGGATGTGTGCGGCTGGTTCGTTTTCTTGTAGGCACCTTTCACAACTTGAAAAGGTGTTCTTTCAGGTGGAAGTGTCCGGTAAGTAATCCTACCATCCATCTTAGTTGATCTCAAACATTAATGCCAAAAGCACGCGGTGTTCCCAAGAGGTCACCCATCCAAGTACTAACCACGCCTATTGTTACTTAACTTCGGTGATCGGACATGGTATGGCCGATGACAGAGGTATGTTTTAATTAAACAGCCAAATTTTAGTCTCCCTCAAAATTATTTACTTCAGATCAGAGAAGAAAAATTCTGAGTACATCAAAGAGACGTTCTCTTCTCTTGCGAAACAGGTTAATTCTATTGCAACATGGCTGTGCTGAGAATGCAAATTTTAAAATTTAAAAGACTTTTCTCAACCCTTCCATTTCATGCATGTATGACGGAGGGTTACGGTCGCTTCCTCTCCTATCCTTTCCAGCCAGTTTTACACGCTAATTCTCTCATTCTAGAACCAGCGCACCATGGTATGTATCCAACCTCACCCTACATACAGATCTAAAAACTCCTTACGTAACAGAAGTCATCCGAGAAAACAGCACCAAGTACTTCAACAAACTAGAAAATCACTCCAACCCACTCCTTCAACCACTACTTCAACCTCATGAAAATCGAAGACTCAAAAGAATTTGACCACCAGATCTAAGAAACTGAGGAGAACATCACTGGATGTTTACTCCGCTCACGTCATGTAGAGTGTACAATTAGCTTTTATATTGTACACCAATCAGCTCATTGACTTATAGATTGTACAATCTGATTGTCAGTAGAGGAAATAAAAAATCATAGAACAGGTAAACCCTGAAGTTAAGACCGTGCCATAGCTCAGGCAATTAGTCCCTTGTTTCCCACCGCGGCGTCCCGGTTAGCGCTCGGGTCTGGTCATGTGGGATTTGTGGTGGACAAAGTGGCACTGAGGCTAGTTTTCTCCGAGTACAATACTTCGGTTTCCCCTGCTAATCTTCATTACACCGACTGCTCCACAATCACCCTCATCTATAATCTGAGGGTGGTAAAATAGTCCAGTAGTTGCCGTAGTACCAAGTGGACTGTCTCACCCCTCTACTACTACTACTGCTGCTGCTGCTACTACTACTACCACTACTACTACTACTACTACTACTACTACTACTACTACTACTACTACTACTACTACTACCACTACTACTACTACTACTACTACTAATAATAATAATAATAATATCCTGAAGCTGATGCAGCTTCTATGAGTAACCTACGGACCGAAACAGTCTATATATTTGGTGTTATTTTTGCAATGTTAAATGCGTACATAGGTGACAATTGTTCAAATCAGAGTCAAATATGCATAATTTTTAAAGCTTGCTCTGATGGTCTGTGTTGCTGTCGTTGGGATCATGAATTCCACGAAGCGTGTAATAAATGAATTTAGAAAAAAAGTAATTCTGTAAATTTTCTGCAATTCTGTTTCTAAGAAAATTATGGAAAGGCCTTCGTAGAACCGAGATCGTACTAGCAGTCATGTTGAAATGAAGCAGTCATATGCAGTCAGACCTCTTTAAACCGTCGTTTCTATCACAAAAATATCATTGCAGGGCTAGGGAGAAAGAATTATATCCAGGAATTTGGATAAATTGTTCTGCACAAGTATAGAAAATATTGACAAACTGCAGAGACCGTAGTTTGAAAGTAACACCGAAGAGCTATCTTACGTCAATAACTGAAATCACACTAGCAGTCTTACAGAGGATCTGCTGCCCTCTGGTGCTAATTTTCCGAGACTCCACACGGGCTGTAGGAGACTGGTCGGTAATACAGTTGTTACTCATGGAAAGGGGGAAGGGACTGTACATGGTTCGAAACTGAACTGAGTTATCGACTGCCCTGATTGTTAACTTTCACGCGTATACGCAACCCGGTATACGTCACACTTCCACCTCTATCGGTTTTTTTCGCTTATGGACAACCAAGCATTTTACTTACTTCACAATACTGGAATTTTATTCGATGTTTCTCCATAACTATCAAATTGGCAGTCTTTCCCTAAAGCTGAGGCGCCTGGAGGATCTGTCTGAGTATACTTTAGAAGAAAATTCATTCTGGAAATAGGTTTCACTTGTCCACTCAAGCAGACTCTCTCAGCCGCCAGGAAACTGTAGTACTGGGAGCAAGGCTTCGTAAAGATTTGTAGCGGCCGATATAAAGCACCCAGTAGTTGTGACTATGGTTGCCTTCTTGAATTCCTGATTCACCAGACAGAATAGATTGGTGACTCCTCGTTTGTTAACGAGTATCGGCTATACTTTTCTTAACAGTTAAACTGCTGGAACCCTAAGCGCGGGGGGNGGGGGGGGGGGGAGTCGCCGCTCCGAAAAGACGTAGAATATGTAGAATATTTTCCGGATGGCGTGTTTTGTTTATCTCGAAATTCTGATAACAAGTACTATGGTATTTTATATTTTCTCTAAGATATATATTATTTCATTTTATTTACATATTCCAAAATATTTATTTATAAGAAAACATGTGAAAATGTCTGTTCTTACGTGACGTAAAACTCTCTTTGTATGAAATAAACATAATGACTGAAGGTTACATTGTTTTATTGAGAGTTTAAAGAATTGAAAATTACATTTTTATACCCAGAAATCTGTTCCCTATTAATCACAGAAATACTAACCTTCATGAAGAGATATAAACTGTATTAAAGTCTAAGAATTCTAGTTTGAAATAGGCAGAAAATAAATTTCCGTACAGTAACTAAGTAACTAAATACATCCCAGTTAATCAAAAGTTATGCATCCCGAAATTTGTTTCTCGGCCTGTAGAATAACTTGTGCTCTTTATTCATATAACTGATATCACACTAATACTGCCTAATAGAACCACACTCAAAAGACAAAATATAGTTGCTCATATACATATATGAAAGCTCCATAACACAAAAGAGTTTAAGACACTGAAGCCTTTTAGCGGATCTCTTTCGTTGTGTTTAGGTCTTTGTGTAATGTGCAATACACTGAAATTGTTATGTAGCTTTAATATGGCTGTGACCCTGTGAAATGTGTACTGAATCGAAAATTCAGTTTCTGTCGTCTATTTTGTTTCCTTATAGTAATATTATGCGTTAGAATGAGCACAGTTTTTGTGCATATCAGTAGTTTGTCCGTTCAGCAGGCATAATCTGTAGAAAGGTATTCAGTGTTAATTGTCCGGAAGTGTGAACTGCATTAAGAAAATCACGTACGTCACAATAGCAACAGCTATCTGGAAAAAGAACGAAATAAAATTACTTACATGTTACAGCAATGCAAAAAAATTCAGGTCACTCTCTAGGGATATATTCAATATACCACGTATTATGAGCATTCTAAAATTACTGCTTAATTCGAAAAACACATCGCGATGGATTGTTTAGCATTCCTGCGTCATACTCAGATGATCCTGTTTTCCACAGGCTACCCTGGCTGAAGAAAACTGCATAAAGAGGAGCTTCATAACTTGTACTCTTCTCCAAGTATAATTATAATGGTCAAGTCAAGGAGGATGAAGTGGGCAGGGCACGTAGCACGAATGGCGGAGAAAAGGAATGCGTATAGGATATTGGTGGGAAATCCAGAAGTAAAGAGACCACTGGGAAGACCAAGGCGTGGGTGGGTAGGAAATATTAAAATAGATTCTAGAGAGATAGGATGGGATGGTATGGATTTGATTGATCTGGCTCAGGATAGGGACCAGTGGAGGGCCCTTGTGAACACGGTAATGAACCTTCGGGTTCCATAAAATGTTGGGAAATTCTTGAGTAATTGCAGAATTGGCGGCTCCTCCAAAAGGGCTCAGCTCCATGAGTAAGTATGTAAGTACCCTGGCTGAAGATTGTGGCTACTTTCTTTAGTCCTTCCATTGAAATTTTCATATAAAGTAGGTCAAGCCCTCTTCAATTGACGTCATTCTATTTTTCTTCATCACCCAACCATCCGGCTACACAAGCATACATCACTGCCTCTACCTGTGGTAAGATGTCATTAAATAAAAAATAATGAAGGTTTGCCGAACTGAACTGACTCTTTCTCCAGTAAATTTTCAGTGTTCATGTGCACAATTCTTAGCTCCGAACGAGTTGTCTTAAAGAGTACAGTTTTTTGTGTTGCAACACCGTGTGGGTCTAAGAGATCCCGAAGCTTCGAAGAGACATTTCGCCTCCATTTTCAGGGCAGAATTGTAAGCCAAGCATGAAATTAGCGAAACCAGGAGGTAAACTAAGGTGGTTTAAGACACGCTTACCGAATGATTACTGGTTTCATGTTTGGCTTACAATTTGGTCATGAAAAATTAGGTGACTTGTTCCCATAACAATACCACACTAAGCCATCCGTATGTTTTACCTGTGGTTGCAATTAGTACTGTTCGTTGTTAATTAATTACAAATCACTTAAATAATGAAATAGATAATTCAGTACTTACATACTTAAATTATCTTATTATTTACTAGTACATACTTACCATCCGATTCACCATTTACCTCATTATTACATTTAAATTATTACAAAAACATTAATATTTTTTTAATTCGCTAAGTGGGGGGTGGAGTCCAACTGGGTCCACTCAGCACGGCGGTCACTGATTGGACTATTGTAGCCTGTCCCGGGTGATTATGATGATGGAGAATTTAGTGGAATGAAGATTGGCAGGGGAAACCGAAGTACTCGGAGAAATCCCGCCCCAGCGCCACTTCGTCCAGCACAAATCCCACTTGACCACATCCGGAATCGAACCCGGGCCGCCGAGGTGGGAAGCCAGAGTTTAACCGCTTTAGCTATGGCACGGCCTACAAAAACATTTTGTTTTGAGAAATTTACATAAGAAATGATTCCATTCGTGGGCTTACGTGTCGTGTTTGTTTTAAAGTTAATTAACCCTTTGGTACTGATGATAGCATACTTCTCGCAGCAGTGTCTAAGAAAAATGTTACCTTCTGGGATGAAATGCCCTACAACCCGTTGAAAGTCAACCAACGTTTCGGAAGAATATGTCGCCTCCAACTTCAGGGATAAAGAATAGGCCAACCAAAAAATCAACATGAAACAGACAGCAAGTGGAGAATGCGACATGTTCCTCCGAAACGTCGGTTGACTTTCAACGGAATACACTACGTTATACCCCAGACGATAGATGAATACATTATTGTAGTCTATAAAGTTTGTAATAGACACTCACTGATCGAAGGAATGGAATGTTGAGCTTGAAGAAGCCACACACTGAAAATGAAATATTTCTGCTGGACAGGTGACTGATGAATATCGAGATCTGTAATAAGAGACAGAATAAATTCATGTCCTGATATCAGTGCCTGCGATGAAATGTGAGTATTCACACTTGATGAGTTTCAGAAATTGTTTACAGGGATAGATGATATTTTTTTCGTATATCGTTTGCTAATAAAAACAAAGGAAACTTTATTGTGTTAGCTTGTAAAGCTGAAAATAATTACAACTCCCGTACCTTACAGGCAAATTTATTACATAAAATATATTGTAGCTGTAAGAAACTTGTGGATTAAAATCAAAAGACTGACCTGACGAGCAATTACTAGCATATTTATTCTTATTTTTACTGATGTTGAAAATTCTGTCATCAAAAAGTAATATCGCTTTTAAAATCCGCGTATTCAAATTCATGGACTAAGAGACTTAATTTACTTTGCTTTTACTTGAACGTGTTTTGTTCACTGCGTTTCAGAAATTATTTATAGATGGAAAGCTGGAAGGTCGCAGGTTCAAGTCCCGATGAGGTCATTGGATTTTTTTCAGTTGACCTAATCCTTCCAGCCGCACTAAGGCCCTGGGGTTTACTCAGCCTCTAACAGAAATGAGTACCAGGAATTAATTAAATAATTTTCCTGGGGAGTAAGGCTGACAACCTTACCGCCATTTTTGAGTCGATTGTCTAGATAATGTGGGACCCTCAACGTCTTACAACCCTATGGGCCTTTATGGCCTATTACAGGGATAGCTTTACTTTGATATAGTGCTATGATTTCGCTTTTGGTTAACCTACCATAGGGCATATTTTTTAATCAGGTATCAGAAAGGAGCATAAATATTAATAATTATTTATTTTTTTAGGTGTCCATATTGCGAATAGTTTTGTTTACCTCCTCCTTAGAAGCATCGTCCAGATGTCGGCTGTTCAAACGCTCAACCAGCATTCGTGATTTCTTAGCCTGAAATAAATTTGTTTGTTACTGACACAGCATGATTAGCGTGATTAATATAAGAATACTTCTAGATATTACCGATTCTGATTGATATCGTAACATGTTCGCTCACTGCCAGAATTGCAGAACCACAGAAGACGTCCGCTGCTAGGCAACGACTCTGTAAACACGTTACCGCAACAACCAAATTACGTGACCGCAATATATACAAAGATAACAACAGAGAAACTGTTAGAGACGGTGTTGTATATTGTGACTGTGTCGAGGCTATGTTAGGATAGCCGAAACCGATTGACAACGTACTATATGTACGTACACTTGACAAATGCCAAGCATATTAATAAGAGACAGACCAATCCCCTTCTCAGAGAGAATGTTACACAAGGACTAAGACTGCAAAGGTTATGGCCGCGCCATAGCTCAAGCTGTTAGTCGCTAGCTTCCCACTGCGGTGGCACGGGTTCGATCCCAGGTATGGTCAAGTGGGATTTGTGTTGGACAAAGTGGCACTGGAGCGAGTTTTCTCCGAGTACTTCGGTTTCCCTTGCCAATCTTCATTCCACCAATTTTTTCATCATCATAATCACCTGGGGCAAGCTACAATAGGCCAATCAGTGGCCGCCGTGCAGGGTGTATCCAGTTGAACTCCACCCCCCACCCCCCATTAAGCGAAGACTGCAAAGGTTCATTTGCAAAAAAAAAAAAAAAATCTGAGGCCAAGACGATCTGATTGCCGGCAAACCGCCAGTCATAAAGTAACTCTGACTCTGGCGCTGGACAGACAGACGAGGCAAACGAATTTTGAGTCGGAAGTCACTGCTAGCCTATGATAGCGAGTGATTGCCAGTAGTTCCCAGACACTGTTAGGCAGTCAATGGGCAGGAATCACTGCCATAAAGAGATATGAGCCAGTCGCCGGCCGATAAGGACGTGAACATGGAAGTCGAGAAATCTATGTTACTGGGAGCCATTACAAAGCAACGACTGGTGAAGACACAGTAGACTGAGAAGACTTAGCGCATGCTATAGTGAATTCTAAATTGTATTAACTCATTAAACGGTTATAATTGCTTACAGTTATGAGTTGTAAGATTCTAATAATTAAAAGAAAAGGTTATAATAAATTATATTATCAATCCAAACCTCGTGTCTATTCACTTAACACGTGAAAATATCAATATTGATATTCCATTTGATTTTGATAGGTCTACACGTATATAAATTACATTTCTAGACACTGTATATTGATATTCAAGAATTTCTGTGTATTGTCAGTTGAAGGTGGAGTATAGTAGTAGAAATGTAACCTTCCTTAAATTTAGTATTTTTTTAAACTCGTTGCTTATCTATAATATAAAATTTCTCTGTCGACTTACGCCTGAAATTATCTTGTTCTAAGCCACCTTATACAATACAATGCAGAGGACAAGATGTATGATACGTGTTTACAAACCATTTCACTATGCTTTGCGTCTACGATAAATAACAGAACGGACGTTCAATGCCATTTTCAGGCGCGTCCGCATCGCTGCAGGGAGTCCATTACAATGACTCAGTCGATGCGTCTGTCTGAACACACGAACTAACTCGAGAACTGCTAAAAGGATATTTATGAAATTTGATATTCGAGAGGTTATTTAAATAGGCCAAGGTCTTCTTATTTTAATTAAAACTGGCCAGCAGTAAGAGGTGCTTTACCTGAGGTCTTACGTTCTGCACCTCCACAAAAGATGGTGGTGTAGTCACTTTCATGCTCCGGCCGCTCTAATCCCGGAGAAAGGGCCCACGTACTAATTGGTTAGTGACTGTAGGACCTCAGAGCCGGTCTAAACGCTGTGAAGTAGAGAAAATTTGGTGCATCTGCTGGGACTCGAAACCGGGCCGTTGAGCCCACAGTCCGTCGCTATGCCGACTGGGCTATCCCGACTCGAAAGACGTGCTCTTATCGTGTCATCATCATCGTCGTCATCACTCATGGAGCTGAGCCCTTCTTCAGAAGCTGCCAATTGTGCCGTTACTCAAGAATTTCCCAGCATTTTATGGAACCTGAAGGTTCATTACCGTGTTCACAAGAGCCCTCCACTGGTTCCTATCCTGAGTCAGATCAATCCAATCCATACCATTCCATCCTTTCTCTCGAAGACCCCTTTTAATATTGTCCACCCACCTACGCCTTGGCCTTCCCAGTGGTCTCTTTCCTTCTGGCTTTCCCACCAATATCCTATATGCATTCCTCTTCCCCCCATTCGTGCTACATGCCCTGCCTACCTCATCCTCCTTGACTTGATCATTCTAATTATACTTGAAGAAAAGTACAAGTTTTGAAGCTCCTCATTATGCAGTTTTCTCCAAACTCCTGTCACTTTATCTATCTTCGGCCCAAATATTCTCCTCAACACCCTCTTCTCAAACGCCCTCAGTCTATGTTCCTCCCTTATGTCAGAGACCAAGTTTCACACCCATACAGAACTACAGACAAAATTCTAATTTTTATGTTTTTGGGCAGCAGACGAGAAGACAAAAGGTCCTTGACTGAATGCTAGCAAACATTACCCGAGTTCAGTCTCCTCTTAATTTCCTCCTGACGTGGGTTTATCGTGTAATTGTGAAAATACTGTTCAGTATTTGCAGACATATCCACTGACCTGTGCTACGGTGATCGAAGGGACTAAGCTGATGAGAATCAGACGGCAGCCGTAGCCAATACACCAGATGATGGCCGGTATTCTAATGAGAGAGTGCCGGTTACGAAACACTGCAATAATTGAGTAAGTTCGGAACACTGTGTTGCCAAAGCAGTACGCTATCACGACAAGCAGTGGAAGCTGGTAGCAGGAGGTCACCATGTCGACGAGGTCACAGAGTCGGCGATGCCAACAACAAAGACGACCCAGAATATCAGACAATGCGTCCTTAGCTGTAGAGATTACTCTCGGGTCTGGTATCCTTACCGCTCTACATGGTCGATGCATTCTCGACGCCTGGGGTTCAGACACGTGGATCGCTAGGCCTGCTGTAATACAAAAGAAAAATATCATATTTTAATCTTTGCAGCAAACGAAAACTCAGCCGGTTAGCACAACCAGAACGTTAACTCGTATTCCGAAATGCTTGATTTGAATAATATTCGGGGATATGTTTGTGTTGATTTTTCCCAAATCATTCGGGCTGCTTTGCATTCAGGTCACGGCCAGTTGTTGTAGTTGTTAATCGTATTTGGTTTGTATTCATTGTGGTAGGATGTCCTTATTGTTGTGTTTTGTGTATTGTGTTTTGTTTGAACGTGTTGTCACTTAGTGTAATGTGTGTTACTTATCTGTTGTGTCCTATTGTGTACTACTGCCACCGGGCTAAAACCCAATTGCAGTATAATAATAAATAATATAATATAATAATATAACTTCCTCTTATATCTGTTCCAAGTCACAAATNAAGACTTAGTACATGCTGTAGTAAACTGCAGAGTGTGTGAATTAGCGATAGCGCTATAATTACTTGTAGTTACTTTATGTAAGTGTTCAAAAACGCAATTATAATCCAAACGCCGTCTAGAGTCACTCCATCCAAGTGACAATAACATCTACAAGTGAATGCCTTTACAGTTGGTAATTCTATCTATACCATGCTTTGGTTATTTTATTGTTGCTGGCAAAAATGATAAATTAAATCAGTGCTTAGGCTCACCAGACTCTTAACTACANTTTGTGTATGCTTCCACAAATTCTGCCTTAAGAAATTTCTAATTTTCACGGCACGTTTTCGTTCAACAATAACAATAAATACACCAATTCAAATGCCACGAATAATCGGAGAAGGGAAACTTCCAAGTAAATTAGACAGAGTGCACCACCTTACAACACGAAAATCACTGTGGATAAAAGTAGGAAACTGGGCCATATTATGCGACTTTCCCATACATTACCGTATTTACACATGTATAGGCCGCGTGCGTGTATAGACCGCAGCACAATTTTCAGACAGAAATTATAGAAAAAATAATTTTCTTTGAATTTCCTCGATCTTTGAACACTCTGTATTACTAATTATGAATATAATTTTTTTTTAAATGAAGTGTGATTTAGAATATTTCGAATATAAGCCGCACCCCAGTTTTCCTCTTGAATTCTTGGCAAAAAATGTGCGGCCTATACATGCGTAAATACGGTAATTCTTACCAAATTTGCCGAGTAGGTCTAGAGTCTATTTCAAAGGGCAATTAACCTGACTACTTACGCCTCCATGGCACCGCTACTTTTGTTTGTGATGAGTCATACATCCAGCACTCCAGTATTGCATTGTTTCTTGCTGTCCTTGTGTCGCCGTGCAGTTGGATCAAAATGCCATTGAGGAATGAAAACCGCTGATGTAAGAAGAAGCACAGGTTGATGAATTGCATTTCACCTGCAGCATTCCCTAGTTTAATGAGATCCTGAAACGTTAATTGAACTGAGTATGAAAACTTATGTTTATGCTTTCAGTGCACTTGTAAAAACAATTGTACAGTGGGAAAGTCATTTCTGCTCATCTGTATGGTTCCACTGTGATATCATTCACGGAACTAAATGAAATGAAATATTCAGGATTCTGCTTTAGATGTTAGTGAGTGAAGACGATTATGGCCGTTGCTGGTTCAATATAACTCCTAAGTAACACGAAATTAAAATCGAAATTAATTGTATTTCTGAAAAGTGATTCACCATAGAAAGCGTTGTTTCGTAACAAAAAGTACAGTTCTAAGAAGGAATTAATATTTGTAATTTTTAGTTGAAGACGTTTTTATATCCTATGTTAAAAGGTAAAGCTATCCCTGTAACAGGCCGTGAAAGCCCATAGGGTTGTGAGACGTTGAGGGTCCCACATTTTCTAGACATTCGACTCAAAGATGGCGGTAAAGTTGTCAGCCTTACGCTCCGACAGCAAGAAAATTCCTGGTACTCATTTCTGTTAGAGACTGAGTTGACCCCAGGGCCATAATGCGGCTGGAATGATTAGGTCAATTGAAAAAAATACAGTGACTTCATCGGAATTTGAACCCGCGACCTTCCGGCTTGTAGCATAGTGCCTCAACCAACTACGCTACCGCGTGCCCTATATCATGTGCGCTTAACGAAATGTGAGGAAAATTGTTTTATGATTAAATAATATTACATACAGAGCGAAATGCTTTACAACAGTAGACATATAGAATCTACGTGTTAATAAATTTACATTTCAAATAAATGGCTTCTAACTAATACAGTATGAAAATCGCGAACAATGCATCTGGAAAATAAGTGTAATCAGTTTTAAGTATCTGTGCGTTCCAGATATACAGAGCGATTCTAAATTATTGTCGGGGTTTATGTCAATAAGCCATGGAAACCCCAACAATAATTTAGAATCGCTCTGTAGAATATGGAAGGACTGTGAAATGGAACAAATACTGTGAGGTCATTTCAGAGCGTGCGCAAATCGAGAGTTCGACACGTCTTCCGTCCAGCCGATCGGCTGAGGCTCGGAATGTCAAGCCATCGTCAATTCTACAGACCAGCAAATTACACCCATCAGATCACAACAGACAATGGTAATGAGCGCTATTTTTATACAAGACTCTTGAAAATTTCATATTCTCAAGTTGAAGTTTATATTCAGAAAAGAAGCAAAATTTTATACATAGGTAAAGTTACCGCTGTAACAGGCCTTGAAGGCCCATAACGTTGTAAGAGGTTGAGGTTCCCACATTTTCTAGACAATCGGCTCACAGATGACGGTAAGGTTGCCAGCCTTACGCGCCGGCCGCCCTTTACTCCCCAGGAAGATTCCTGGCACTCATTTCGTTAGACTCTGAGTCGAATTCAAGGCCATAATGCGGCTGGAAGGATTAGGTAAATTGAAAAAAACCACCTCATTGTGATTCGAACCCGCAACCCTCCTGCTTGTAGCATAGTGCCTCAGCCAACTACGCTACAGTGTACCCCAAAATTTCATACATGGAACTTATGTTTTGAAATTCTGTTCTCTGAAACGCGTCTGAAGGATTTTCAAGGAGAATATTTAAACTGACGACACAAACGCAGAATAAACGCACGCAATACAAACATCCATGCCTTGACTGGAATTCGAACCCACGATCCCAGTGTTCGAGCGTGTTAAGACATTTCATGCCTTAGACCGCGAGGCCACTGTGATCGGCACCTGACATATATTTAACTAAATTTCAGGATAATACATTGAGTGATGGCTTATGGCTGCCGTCTTATGAGGTCGCACGACGGCAGTTTCGGGATCTTCATGGCAGGAAATTACAAAACACTGAGATTTTGACTCCTTCAATCCTAAGGTGTTCGTAATAAATTGCATTAAAGTCGGTTTATCACATGTATACAGACAATCTGACACCAGTGCATATCCACATTTGGTTGAGGAGGTCTATATTATTAATAAAAGGAAGGTGAAATAACTGCGTTCTAAGACATATATTCTGACCCAAGTAGAGCTCAAGCGGTTAGTCGCTGGCTTCCCACCGCGGCGGCCCAGGTTCGATCCCGGGTCTGGTCAAGTGGGATTTGTGGTGGACAAAGTGGCACTGGGGCAGGTTTTCTCCGAGTACTTCGGTTTCCCCTGCCAATCTTCATTCCACCAATTGCTCCACAATAACCCTCACCTATCATCTGGGGCTGGTACAATAGGCCAGAAGTGGCCGCAGTACAAGGGACTTAGTCCCAGCCCACTAGCAAGTAGAGAAGTACACATACCCCGAACATGCATGGGACAAGCATGTTTAGTGGAAGGCCAGCGCGGAAGGCTAAAGATGAAGCAACGGAAGTCCCTGCCAATGTGTACAAGCAGCATACGATTACACTCACGATGCAGAAAGTTCGTCCACTTCTGCTGAAACTCCGTCGCTTTGCTGCATCTGTTGGGAAGAACAAACATATCTTAGTACAATGGACACTAGTCACAATTTTAAGCTCTATCCCGTCTTGTGCTTGGAGGGACCGAGAAAACCCACGGAGAACCTAGGACAGGAAAGTCGGTGTCTCAGCCGAGATTCGAACTAGGTACCTCCCGAATACAAGTCGGAAGCCTCACTGCTTTATCCAACTTTTCTGAGTGGGCTACATACCATAGGCAAGGTCTAGTTCTGCCTGGGTGACACATGACAAAAACTGAATATTATTGTTTGATACATAGACCCACGTGTTCTTTTGTATTGTTATAAAGGTAAGGGTGCCGCTGTGCTTAATTAGTTAAGCACTATGCCATGAAGACCTATGGGGGACTGGAGGTATAGCTCCACCATACTTGACCTCGCTACTAGATAGCGGTAAGTGGTCAGCTTTAGGTCACTGCCGCTTAACCCCTTGGGAAGCAGATCACGGTACCCATTGGATAAGAGCCTGGGAAGGTCTCAGAGCCGGTATGCATGATGTAGAGAAGGAAATTTTTTTTAAAATGCCTGAATCGATTCCGGGTCCTCTAGCCCGTAGCAGCTCGTCGCTATACCGACTGACCTATTATTATTATTATTATTCTCTTGCTCTTGAGGAGTTAAAATTGCATACTTTACGTACTACGAGACATCGCCTTGATGCTCTCTTTCTTATTCACGTTTATTTTGGCTCGAAATTCTGCCCTTCTGTTCTGGAAATTGTTGGTCTCCCAGTTCCTGCTCGGTATATCAGAGACTTTGCATTGTTCAATGTTTGCTCCCTCTGCTAGATGTGCAGCAGGTGCTAATGTTGTCTGCAGAGATGTTGTATTCGGAGCCAGGAATGTTGTCCCCAAACGATTTTCAAATATAGTATAATTGTTGGTATTATTATTATTTGCATGTGCAAAAAACAATAAACTGAATTATTATTATTATCCTCGGATTATACTTTTCATTTCTTAATTAAATATTTATATGTTTCATTTCTCACTTCTTAATAACACTTAGATTTATGTTAATGAAATTATTATCATTTGTTTGTTTGTTTACTTTTCTGCATTATTGTGTTTTCCCCAGTGCTTGCCTGTAATTTGTCTCTGACTTTATATTATTTGTCCATAATGTAATTACTTGTATCTACACTGTGCTCTCTCTGTAATTGGCCTTGCGGCTGTTGACTCGGCACATAAATAATAAAGAATTGAATTGAATTGAATTATTAAACCCCGTGGCCCGTAGTCCGCAATCCAACTATACTTACTGAGCGACCGCCCCTTGTCGGCGAAGTTAGTGCCAACTTTAGCGGATAGAGGGTGTCACGTGGTCAGCGCAACGGATTCCCACGGCCGTTAATCTCGGTTCTCTAGACCGGAGCCGTTATTTGAGTGAAATAGCTCCTCAATTATCCTCACGAGTCTGAGTGGACCCCGTTCTAGATCCACTACTTTTCAGAAAATCTAGTAGCGGCGGGAATCGAACCCGGGACCTCTGGATCTGTAGCCAGGAACTCTGACCACTAGACCACAGAAGCGGTCATCACATTATTATTATTATTATTTATCTACATTGTGCTGTGTCTGTAATTTGCCTTGGCTCAGTACATAAATAATAATTAATTGAATTGAATTATTATTGTGACTTGCCGCCAGAAAGGCCGGACGATAAGACGTCGATCATTGGTTCACGGCTAGCAATGCCTAGTAAATCGTTGCCCCGGATATGAAAGTCTAGCAGTGGGTTTACACCGCTATTTGTAACGAATTGTTTGAGGCAGACACGTACGAGTATTCCCGCAGCAACAAGAGGCAGTTGCATATCAGGGGGCGAAACGAAAACCTTCCACAAGGTGTTCTCCATTCAGTCCGAGTGCAGGATATAAGAGTTCGTATCCGACAAGAGACCCGTTAATTCGTAGTCGACGAGATCTAAGGACAGTACAACTCCGAGCAGAGCAGAAGACTCTTCACCGAGATTAGCAGTGCAAGAGTGTTATAACAGTTGAAGAGGAAACGTCTAAAAGGTCTTATAACTGCGAATAATTATATTTGTGAGTGTAAAGAGTGATTGTCCAATAAACTTTCGTCCAAATCCGAGAGCCACACAATTTCTTGTCGCGTTACCCAGCAAACACGCGACATAATTATTGTCACAACCCTCGAAAAAGAAACAAACAAAATTCTCTTATAGTTCAAACCTTCAGAAGCAGAATTTGCCTTACTGATTTGAAATCCCTTTCGCTCTGAAGCGTATTCGGTCTCTTTCGAACGCTGTCCACACTGTGGATGATTTTGTGCCCTCCAGTATTTCCTAAGCTGCTACACAGTGTCATTCTCCTTCCATTTTTTGGCATTCTTCTTTGGTCCATCCTCCATACAATTGTAATNTCTTCATCCACATTTTCATCTAGATGCTTAAGCTCTCGGAATATATCCGGTATTTTTCGTGCTCCGAAAACTCCAATTATTATGACAAGAACGGTGCAGATGAATTCAAGGATATCATCCATGGAACCAATCCAAATATCCTTCCCGTTAGGAATATGGGGTAGATATTGTGAATTATTCTTATCGTTGAAGTTCACACGAGTCGAATTTCCGTGATCAATATTTCCTTTGTCTTTCCGTATAAACGGACGTCTCCGAGTCATGATATAGTATTTGAGAGCGATGTGCAGTGCAATCCAGAGGCATGAGTATATTGTGATTTTCCATGACCATTCGAATTCCATTGCGCTTGTATTTCTGCTGGTTGTTGATGACTGTTTTCTCTTATACGACAACGGCATTACGCCCAGTGCTTTTGAAAATAAATAAGCAGGTTCGAATGACTTATAGAGTATGTTCTCATATACTGCGCCAGGTTTTCTTTTCGTCATAATGTCACTCCTCTTCAAATCCACCTTCAGTTTACTTCAGCACAACACTTATTTTATCAGTGAAGCAAATGAACTTTATTTTTATGACAGTTGATTCAGGCAAGGGAATAAACATAAATGTGAACTGGAAATAGAAAAAATCGAATCAACTGAGGCAATTTCACTAACATGTTTCTACAATCGTAACAATCCGATAATATAAATTTGTCACAGACATAACTAATAATGTTCTTGCATTGTTATTACTGTTGATACTGATCAGAGTTAGTCATCCATAATGCACTTCCACGTATGGGATTAATCAACTAAAAGTTTCTAGAAAATGAAATGGATTTCTCCGCATCAATTTATACAAGTTATTTGAATGTATCTGTGTTAATATCACGTGATCAATGAGTTACACTCCGTTACACTCAGTGTTAACGGACTGTGCTCTTCTCAGGGGCGAGAAATGTCATAAAATAAAAACTTATTTCCTCCATAAATTATTAAAATTGAAGTTAAGGACTGTAAAATCGAAATGGCTTTCAAGAACATGTTGTACAAAATTCCATGAAATCCATATACCGGTTAAAATCTGGATGACAAATACACCGATGTTGTGATAGTAGCCTCTTCTTTCCTGGAACTAAGAAAGTTGGCCAAATAATGGGCAAAAATGTAGTTAGTGCCAACTTTTGCGGATACAGGGCGTCGCGTGGCCAGCTCAACGGATTCCCCCGGTCGTTGATCTCGGCTTTATAGACCCGGATCCGCTATTTCCTTGAAATAGCTCCTCAGTTATCATAACGAGGCTGAGTGGACCCCGTTCCAGACCCACTACTTCTCAGAAAATCTGGGAGCGCCACGAATCGAACCCGGACCTTTGGATCTGTAGCCAGGAACTCTGACCACTAGGTCACAGGGGCGGTCACATAAAAAACATCGCTCAATTAATTCCTTGTATCTTACAATACACCGTAAGGAAACAAAGTTAGAATTGACAATATACAGAAAATACACACAAACGGATATGATAATATGGAATGATTCCTGTCACCAATATGAATATAAAATATCAAGATTTAACTATTAATGAATAGAGTGCACACATACCCAATAACAAAAGGAGCAAAGGAAAAGGAACTAAACATAATGAAAGACACTACATGACAATGAGTATAATGTAAACCTACGTACGAGACACCCCAACCAAGACCAACGTAATAAAAACACTCATCCTCAAGATAAGAAAATAAAATGGGTCATTTTCACATGCAGCGATTAAAACACAAAGAAAATTACAAAACTCTCTAAAGAAACGCAATTGAAAGTAGCATTCCTAGCATGAAACATAATACAAAAACACAGCTACAGAGGTACATTTACAGAGGTAAATGCCACAGAAAAAGTGGCATTTACCAAATTAAATGCATGGATTGCCCACTGAAACACGTAGAGCAAATTAACCAAACATTTAACACCAGATATAAAGAACATATACACACAATTACTAATAATAACGGTAATTCAGGAAATTCAAAGCAGATGCTGAGAACAGAACACACATATGGGAGTATAACCGATACAATGAACATCATAAAAATAGGAAAGAAAAAATACCTAAATATTTAGAACAATACAACACATATAAAATGAGTAAAAACAGACTACACATGAATAGCGCATATATTGACATAAATAACCAAATATGTGAAGCATTACAAGAATTAAGCACTAGATTACAGCACACATACATTGTATAAAACATTATATTTAATCTTCTTCCTTCTACAATGCACCAATATTAATATAGATTTAGATGACACTAATTCACATTTAATTCACTAAAATACTTGTCACAATGTTTAAAAATGTCATTAACTTATATACAAATTCCATGTTTATGCTCTACATGTTTCGGCCGCACATGGCCATCTTCAGGCAATACATTTTTAAGGAATCTGCTGCACTGTGCACTTTGTCAATAACACTCTTAAAGCACGTAGTTATTATTAGTTTTTGGTGTTACAGAATGTTTGTTCTTCCTATCTTTTTTATTGCGACAGTTTTCTTCAATGTATAATACATGTTGATTTTTATTTATAACGGAGGATTTTGTGAAAAGTTGCTCTTCACAATAGGTTTAGAAAGTGATGCTAGACGCATGTGAACCAAGACGAGAGCGAAGAAAGCCAGATACAGATTTCATAACTCCAGGTTTTGTGCTACATCCTAATTTTCTTTTCGTGGCTTCTTGACGAATACGTATTAGGATATATTCGTAATATTTTATTAGTATTACTATAATTATTTATTGATCCCGTTCAGGAAACTCATTTTGCATAATCATATGCATATTCATATATATAGTTCATTCTTAATTCCAATTTTTCTTTAAACGTAATTGAATAAATCGGAAATAATTTGTGGCAATCAAACATGTTGAAGTTCATATGTGCGCGCCCGCGAAAGTAAAGCCTGAAAGTGCTGCCATGACACGGAATAAATGAAACTGGAACTACTCCCTTTAAAAACGATGTATTTTAACCAACCCCAAAGTAGAGCATTTAACTTTTAAGTATCAATAACAGAGAGTCTGTATGATGTACATGCATTCAGTTAATAATCGGAATAGCAACTTTCTTGAATATTCTTGCTTGGATGTAACTTTGCCTACAGAACATTAGAGTTCTCTTCGACTCTGTTCTGTTGGTACTTTCAGAGTCGATATAATTGAGCAGTGGAGCCAATATTGTATTTATAAAAATAGCTGCTGTAATTTTAAAATAAAACAGATATTAATATTCAAAACGTATAAACAGGAATTAATTAGTAATTAAATGATTACTAATATTTGCCACAGCATTTATATTTGTTCAATGTATTATTTTAAGTTTTACTCTATAATAGTAGCAATCTAGGGGATTAAATGCTTACGATTGCCTACATCAATAAATTTGTCTTGGAAACTGTCAAGGAACTATTCGTGTGAGGGGGTGAAAGGTGTGTTTGTGTTTATATTTACAGAGTGTCAAGGTTATAAACACAAGAAGTAAAATATTATCGTCATGGCTGATAATGCCTTTCACCTGAAATGGAATAATCATCTTCAGAATATGTACTCCCAATTAGAAACACTTTACAGTCACCAGAGTTTAGTGGATGTGTCAATATCTTGCACAGATGGTATATTGAAGGCCCACAGAATAGTTTTATCTGCATGCAGCCCCTACTTTGAATCCATCTTTAGAGACAATTATTGCAAACATCCAGTGATAATTCTGAAAGGAGTTACTTCACGAGAAATGCAGGCACTTCTTAAATTCATGTATAAAGGCTCAGTTGAAGTACTAGATGCAGATATACAGTCCTTTATGTATACTGCCAATGAACTTAAAATACGGGGACTTGCAGATGAATTACTTAAAGAGACCATTAGATTAGTAGCTGAAAAAGGTGGTGCTGAAGAACATGCAGACAAAAAGGATTGTATGGATGTAGAAAATTCTGGACATGGAGATAGGTCCACTGTTGATGGTGTTAAGAGTACTGATTTAAGAACAGCAGGTATTACAGAAGATCAGAAAGAGGAATGCAATAAGAGTGTCCCCCACGAGCAGTGTGAAAGTGTTAAAAAAAACGTAGACCAGTCTTCAGAATCTCAGAGTACTGGAATCTCTTCCAAAAAGCAGGAAACTCATGCAGTTACAGAACCCTCTTTGGAACCCAGTTCTGTAAGTATGTTGTTGTATGTCAGCTTTTTGAGTATAATGTTGTTTACATTAAGAGTACTTATTGAATAGGAGAAAATGTACATATGCAATCACTTCATTTCATGTACTGGATAACATGAATGACAATTTGGCCTGATTCTAAAGATGATGGGTGCTTAGGCATTTATCAAACATTTTGAAAGTATCGGCAGATGTCCTGAGAAGTGGCATGAGTTGAACGATTACAGACATGTCACTTTGATTTTTTTATTGTCATGGTTTTTTTTGAGAAGTAAAGTTAATAGGTTGCAAGAATTAAAAGGAACTAACTAATCTAATGTGCAACATAATAGGTAATAAATAACATCCCTCTCCCTCCAGGAAGACACTTTTGTGGGATCAAAAAGTGCTTTTATCAGTGTCACTGTAATGTTGACGTTATCGAGTGTTTTCCTCTTTGTTTTTTGTGTGACTGGGACAGGTTTGCTACTGAAATTTTACACAACAAAGATTGTTATTCACTTATTAAACCTGTAAGGACTGAAAGAGACGGGATGGCACGGGGTTATCTACCTTTGGTTGCTACATAAATAATATCAATTATACACCGTATTTTGATTTAGTAGTCACAACTAAATAGAAGTGAACCAGGATAGTGATACGTCAGGTGTAGAGAAGGTAAACATTCATCCAAATGAATATCAGATGGCTAGTATGAACTCATGGGATCAGTGGTGGAGCAAGTTAGTATAATGGTAATGCTTCATTCTTGCAAACAGTGGCATGCTTATAACATTCATATTAATAAATACAAAACATTGTATAAATACAAATATGCTCCATATACCCCAGTTAGCACACTGTTTTGATATGCAGTAAATTCTACGTCACACATTTTCATATTTTTTGCTGTGTGTAGATACTGGTGATTGATTACTTATTATTTGTACCAAGGTAAATGCAGGAAACCACAGAAAGCACAAAACTTGAAAACCTTTTCTCAGATATTGGGACTCTACAGTACAGTGTAGTGAAATTTCTGTGTTATATTTCAGCCTGAAACTACCTCTTTGAAGGTAGTGCCTCCTCCGGTAGCTATGCCATATGCTCGTGAAACAAGATTTAAGGGTCGGAAAAGAGTTTCTGTTGGATTCCGTCCCAGTAATAGAATTAAGAGCACTGAAAAACGAGAGAGTGGAAACAAATCATTGTCTAGTGAAAATAATGTTAAGAAGATGAGAGGCATAACCAAAGATGTGTCACTTTCAGAAGTACAAAAGACAGGCAAGAGACCAGGTATTCCATTGGAGAATGGAAAACAGACTGAGAGAGAAAGTACAGTTAAGAATTTTAAAAGGGACACAAATCCAGAGGTGATAACTCCTGATAGTATTGAAATAAAGGAAGAAGTTCAAGAGATGGACATGTTCTGCATATCAGCGCTAGCTGAACGGAATGCAAGCCCTGACCCTGATGATGCAGAAGATGATGGTGGTGACAATACTGAAGCATATGACATAAAAGAAGAGTGGAATACTGATACAGTATGTGCCTTCTGTTGTCTTGATTGCCACACATCCACAGATCTCAAGAAACATCTTCGTGCTCACACAGGAGAGAAGCCCCATGAGTGTGACCTTTGTGAGCTTGCATTTGCACGTGCTTCTCACCTTGCACGCCATCGTCGTGTGCATACGGGTGAACGCCCCTTCACATGCAGTGGTTGTGGTCGCACATTCTCTCGTCAAGACAAGCTAAAGCAGCATGCCCGTCGCCATCATGCAGCAGAACCTGCAAAGGTTCTTCGCATGGAAAAACCACGCAGGCCAAGAGGCAGACCACCAAAGGTAACAAGCAAATTCCTTTATTTGAGTAAGGCAGGTGCACTACCAGTTTTACCACTGGACAAAATCAGATCTTGTGTTTGTGGTTACTGTAGAGCAGGCATGTCCAACGCGTCGATCGCGGGACGATTTTGGGTTGATCTCATAGGCCTATAAGGAAATTATACATGAGAAGCATGTAAATCCACTTGTAATACAATATATTATATTCAGATTTTCAAGGGAAAATACGTGTTAAAGTAGTCTGTACTTTCAATGTATATGTTGCTTTTACAACAAACATCATGTGTCATGTTATTTTTACCAATATTTTTGCTTAAAGCGAGGTACGACGATAGGAGGGGGTGGTAGATCACTGGCAGTTTTGACACTAAAAAGTCGATCACAACCTGTCTGAAGTTGGACATGCCTGCTGTAGAGGAAAGTTAAGGACTTGTATTTCACATTCAGCATGAACGGTGGCAGATCTAGTTTTAGTCATTGTCTGTTTACGTTGTTAGTTATTAACTGTTAACAGAGTCTTCATTTTTGGTTAGATGTGGACACACTGTGCCTCCTCTCAATATTAGTTTACTTCTTCCTCCAGTGAGTAGTTCTCTTACTCCGAATATGTCATAGCAATATAAATAAGATCCAAATCGCAATTTAATTTAATCATTTAGTTGTAAAAGGGAACATAATGTGCTCCTTAGCCACTGAGCATGGCCCCCTTTCCATCTAATCAATGTAATTATTTTTTTTACACCATTAGTATTAAAGCACCAGACAAGGCAAAAAGACAATTATCAGTGGATTTGAGCATTCATTCAAAATAATGTCACCTTCATGGACATTGTTTTCTTTATAGATGAGTCATGTTTTCACATAAGAACCAAACAATATGGAGCAGAGACAGTTCAAATATTTTCTCTGAGAAGCCATTACATTTGCAAAAGATAGGCACATAGTGTTCTGTTTTGCATCATTATGTGGTTGGTCCTCCTTTCTATAGAGACACTGCAGTTGCTGATTCTTACCAGGAGCTGATTATGCAATTAATTCCATTATAGAACTTGACTGCTCGTTACAGCAAGGTTTTACATGAATGCATATGAAAATATCTACACTGGGAGTGTTGGAAGAGTTCTTTGGTGCCTGTGACATTTTGAAGAGTTTTTAGCCATCATGAGTTCTGGACTTGTCTTACCCAGTATTTTTTTCTTTCGGGTTATTTGAAACATAATGGTCATAAAAAAAACACTCACTCCGTTGAAGAACGTTAAAAGTGGCAAAAAGAAGGTCCCTGTTCTTAGCTAATTAGGCGTTATGCCATGAAGATGTATGTTTGGAGATGCTGTGTAGATCCATGTATTCTTGACCTTGGCACCAGTAGGATGTGAATGGTTAGCTTCATGCGATGACTGCATTACTCCCAGGGAAAGAGCCCCAAGTGTCTATTGAATAGGAGGCTGAGTAGGCATCAGAACTGGTCTGGGTGATGTGAAGAGGAGAAAGTCTTGTCCCTACCTGGACTTGAACTCTGACCCCTCAGTCATTCAGCCCATAACCAATCAGTCCCCATTAAAAGTGTCATATCAGTAATATATGTACAGTATAACTAGTAATAGTTGTCAGTTCTGAATAGATTTTAAATTATTTGAGAAAGGGATCAACATCATAGCTACATGGACCCCTGGATTGTAAGCTAGTGGGAGCAATTTCAGCAATGTTGGACTCCATCTTGTGACCACCAGCACAATGCATCAGACATAGAAATTTCCAATAGTAATCAGAATATCAGGATAGTGAAAGGCAGGAAATCTAAAATGGGCTGGGTGTATATCTAGGATGGGGAAGGCAAGGAATGCATATAGAATCCTGGTGGCGAAATGTGAAAAATTAAGATGACCAATACTCTGTATCCTGACTGAGGTCTTTCATGTTTTTCCCAGGTCCTCCCGGGCAAATGCCAGGGTAGTTCCTTAGGCCATGACAGCATCCTTCAAAATCCTTTGCTGTTTCATCTATCATTCTCCCATTATGTAGTCTTGGCATTGGAAACACCATTAAATAACCCTGACACAAAGAAAAAAAGGTGATGGATTTTAGGGAGGAAGGTTGTTAGGTTGTTAGATAACTGGAACTGGCTTAGTATCATGTCCAGTAATGGGCTTTGGTGGTAGTTGTATTAAAACTTTGTTTCTACTACCAGAGGATTAGTATAGGTAGATTATAACCAGAAAATAGACTACGTAGCCATCACAGTTGAATTGATCACTAAGAAGCTGATAAATTCAAATTAATTAAACACTTAACTGGAATTAGCTCAAAATATCTGTACATGTTTAACTTGATTAGAGTTAGAAAGATACCAGGATTAAAGTGTACAAGGCTTTGGTGCAATGTTTGCTGACTTAAACAGTGAAACTTGGACTGTATGCACACAGGATGAAGGCAGAATCTCAGCAGCAGGTTAACAGCAGGCTTCACTCATTTGGGTTATGATAGGAATTTAGACCTAACAAAGAAATTAAGTACACAGCCAGTCATGGAATGTACAGAAAAGTAAAGATCTGACAAGAAAACCCATGTTCCTTGAATGGCCCACACAGGAATCTCCAAATTTTCTCTTACCAATCAATAAAGCGAAGGTCTTGGGACGGACTATACAAACTCTGGCAGAGACCGTAATAGCCACTAGGTCTGAGACATGAAAGAAGGATGATGATCATGATGTTTGAGTGGATAATGGCAGGAAGATGAATTTGCTCCTTTGCCTTTGCTTGCATAAATACTCTATGTATCCAAAATAGTTCACTAACAAAGAATATTTCAAAGAAATATTGCTCTGCCTAAAGTGTTAACATAGCAGTGGCCTTGATTGCTTCTGCTAGTCAGCATCTTCAATGAAAAACTACTGAGACTTACTTTACTGAGAGTAGCAGAGTCTCTACGCAATAGTATTATATGGTGTGATTGTGAATAATTATTGGGGTTTCCATTTATAGACCACGGAAACCTCGACAATAATTTAGAATCACATGGTACATAACAGTACATATATATTGCATGTAATTGATATGGTATGTATATTTTAAGAGATCGTACAGAGGTCTTCGTTGTAAGTGTCAGTCAGCTTCTGCAGAACAGCTTAGAAGTTCTTGCATAGCTGTAATACTCTAAATGGCAGTAGGATTAATTGTATTGTTTTTAATGAACCACAGTTGGAATATTATCAAAGTATAAATCAGAGATTCCAAATTTTACCTGACATGTTCAGCTTTAAACGAAGAGGGAATTTCTTCATTGTAATCTTCTGTGTTTGTGTCTCTAGATGGTGGTTGTGCCACGAAACTCAACAGTTGACCGAAGAAATATTTCTGACTTTACACCAGGCCCAACAGATACCAGCAATGCTTCTTTGCCATTTGGTGATACAAGTTATCTGTCTTCATTGTCCTTGGGTCAGCAACGGTACAACGACCTGACTATCAGCCCCATCATTGATCCTGGCCCTTCAAGCAGTCGCTCTGTAGGAACAAGTCACAATATGGCTGAGGATTTACTCCAGTCAGTAAGACAGCTTGGTGAATGCACAATACAAGCTTTTCCAGGTCAAGCTCCATTAAGGACCAGAGTAGAATGACAGTTATCACATGACAAGGACAAGCCCAAAACTGTAGCCTTGCCAGTCAGTGCTTTTAGCAGGCAGAGTGGGGTTGAAATATTTAATATTTAATGCAAAACTAAAATACTCATGCATAACATGCTATTGTAGCATTTTATAAAAACATGTACTCACTATCATAATAATGTGTTTGTAGTGTTTTGTAAAAGTCTTGAGTGCAGGATATCACGTATATGTATGTGTTGTGTTAGGTTAAAATTTAACCAGTTTTAGTGTTTTAAATTGAGTAACAGACAACCCTAAATTTAAAGAGAAACATGATCGTCTCTGTAGAGTCTCGTATATTCATGTCTGAAGTAATGTCCAAAGATCAGGTTCAACGTGGTACTCATCATGGGAACTGAAGAAGTATGACCAGCAAGAGGCTGCTGACAATAAAGGAGCTGAATTTTATCCTATGTTTTGGGGCAGTTGCTAGAGTACTTTTGTAATAGAAATGGGTACTTGAGAAGTGATGTTAGAATAACAGTAATGGTGGACACACGAAATTGCTTAGCAGTGCGTTGGCCATGACCTGGATGACTAGGGTTTAATCCTATGCAGGAAAGAGGAATATTTTCCCCATCATTGCCTGCCCACCTCCTATCCACGGGGAACAGATAGCTCTTTCTGCAGAGGTAAAGCAGCTGGAGTGTGAAGCTGACTATTTTAACTTTCTATAGTACAAAGGTAAGACCATATGGAAGTTTACTTTCGTTCTCCATATATTTTCATGATGTGGTGTGTTAGCACACCAATTCTTACTTTTTAACACTCTGTAAATTGATCAGAAAGATGTCTTTTATTCTTTTATTTTGATGGCAAGAGACAGATGTTGCTTTCACAATGTTTATTCAACTTCAGAAATTTTTTACAGTTGGCATTGCTTAAATTATTTGTAGGCCTTTTATGTTAATATCTGTAACCAAGCTATGCTGCCATGAACATATACATAAGTGCCATATTGTACAATTCTGGATCTTGTTACTGTAAGTTAACCCTTCTACTGCTATGTGTTGCTATGGTAGTGTTACTCTGAGGACATCAGTACTCCTATGCATTACAATAATAGTGATGATGCATGCTGATTTTAGGACCAAGTCAGTGGTATCAGATAAGTACCACCACCTTTAGAAGCACTGAAGAAGTTTTTGGAATCATAAATGTACCATGCTGCCCATAAAGAATGTAGACGAATTGTAGCAGTGGGGGCTGGTCTAGTGTATATATACTATAGTACGTAGTTAAAGGGCTTATCCAAATATCTCTTTTTCGAGGTAGTTGACATTGGATGGACTACACAGCATTATATACTAGAAGATGGAGCTCTTCATATCCACTGCTGTGAGAACACCAGACTGATTGTCACTGTAAATTTTCTTTATGAGCACAAACATTTCCTCAGTATGTGATGATGGACAGTTATGTCATGCACTAGCTTTCTCATAATTTTGCTATTTTAAAATCGAGCAAGTCACTCAGATATTTTTATACAGCCCAGAACATTTTTTTCCCTTGTTGTCTATGTGTATATAATTATTTAATTTGACTTTTACATAGCACAGAAAGCCTTTCAAGCTGAAACCCCCTGAATCCACACATGTACACATGAAAACATACACACATAAACCTTTTTGTATTGCTTTAACTGTGTGTTATTCATCAGATATTCGTTTTAACTAAGAAATAATTCCCTCAAGTTTATAATCTCTTTCATTGTATTTTCTGCCATTGGAATCAGTGTGATTTTAAAACTTCATTTCTCAGAAATGTTGGCCCCTTATAGTGAAAAATTGATGTGAATAACATTTTAAAATTTGGATTTTACTTCCCAAGAAAATATTACATATTTATTACAAATGCAATTTGACTAAGAGGTGACTAGGAAAGTAACCACTTTTTATTTTTAGAAACAGACTAAACCCACACATTGACTTTGTAGTTAAAATTTTAGATTCACTTCTTAAAATAAAATGTTAAGTCCCCATCTCAACTTCTCTAATTGATTTCCTTGTACTTATTAAATACTATTAATGCCTCAGCATGTTTTGGCCATAAATTACTGTCTTCAGGGGGGATACCAGGTATTAAGGAGAACTTTACTATTCTTATTGTAACCTTTTTCATGTCTTGGAACACTTATTTTCTCATTGTCATAGCCACATAAGGTGTTGACATGACTTCTCTAGTCCACCACTGTTTTACTGTATGCCACTGCATTGTCTTTTTCTTGTTGCTTGCACTGTCAGCACTGAACCAAGTATTGTGGCTTACCATACACACTGTTTCACATCTCTTTGCCTACATATGACTGCTATATGCCTCTGCTGAGGTCATAACCAGACTCAGCTGTTCTTGAGAACTTCATAGCACTCTTGCACAGGCAAAGTCATTCTGGAAAAACTCATGGATTTCTGGTCTTCTTAGGCTGGCAGCATGGGCTCGGCTGTTCATGAAGAATCTAAAAGCCAATAAGGGATGGTAAAGTCAGGATGGTCATTCATGATTGAAGCATGACAGGGTTTTAATAGTATTTAATCAGCATAAGAAAATAAATTAAGTATAAAAAGAATAATGGCAGAATGAATGCTATTAAATTATTGGATTTACATTCGTGACACAGCTCAACTGCAATTTTATAAAAGTTAAATGTAACTAAATACTTGATAGAAGTTATAAACAATTTTGCTATGTGTATAAATATTACATTTACAATTATTTTTACTCTAGAGACGATATGCTGATGTAATGACTATGTTCATATTATTTGTCATATTGTCGTGTTTACAAAGGTGACAGGATTTGGTGATGAATTAGAAGGGAAGCAGTTACAGTTATTCCAGTATTTTCTGAGGTGACAAGGTGACATAATATCCAGTCAGGAGGATTTTCCATCTAGAATACAAGTTCTGTCCCCGTTCCAAAGAACAGCTTAGCTACTCATTTTCATGTTCTTTGAATGAAGATCCAACCTTCTCTACTAGCCATTTTGCATCAACGTCTGCATATAGTTCTGCAATAAATGTAGTGACAGAATTTTTATGACATTTGTATGATCATTTATCTTACTCTTTTACTTGTAGGCAGCTCAGTTTTGTGTATTTGATTTGTGAATTGATAATTTTTCAGAATTGGTCATAATGTAAAAAAATTACATGAGTCATAGTCAGAGAAGCATGAATTGATGGAATTCATTCTAAGCTTCTCAGCACTGATACATAAATGTAGCTGCTGAGCATCTGTGCTTTTGTGTGTGTGTGCATGATACATTTAATAACAGTGAACAAGTCTCAGTAGAGGCTAGACTAAGAGAGTTTGCTTTCTGTATTGTAGTTACAGAAGTTCCAGTTTGTAATGTGTTGATAGTGTCACTGATGAGTTTAGATTGTGTCATTACTAGTCAATTGTTGCTGTTCCATAGATTCACTTCTGTTTTACTAGTTTTGTGTAGAGGCATTAAATCTTGTTTTTTGTTTTATACGTGTAATTTACATTTAGAATCTACTGATTAGAGAAGTTAATAGTTTTTTAATTCTTGATTTATGTAATGGTGCTTTTATTAGCTCAGGTTACATATACATAGTGTTGAATGATGGGATGATAGATAAGTGTCAGTTGGAAAGAATGTGAAAGGAAACAGCCATGGGTTAATTTGAGGTACCACTCCTATATTTGCCTGGACAAATCGGGGGGGGGAACCATAAAAGCCGCCTCTCAGGTCATCCAGTTGCTGGGCTGAGATTTTAACTGAGATCTACAAAATAGGAAGCAAGAGTACTGCCCACTCAGCTGTAATTTACAGTGACATTTGGAGAAATGAGAATACTCACAGTTTAGACATCATTGCTATGCAGATATTTTCCTTGATTAAGAGAATACATGCTAGAAATTTGTAAAAGTGCCATTCACACTAACATGTTTATAATAACACAGTATTAAAAGCCAAGGATTTTGTCTTTTGTGTAAGGATTAAGTCCATTATGTAGTATATATATCTTTTTTGCTTAGTGGGGGTGGAGTCCAACTGGATCCACTCGGCCTGGCGACCACTGATTGGCCTATTGTAGCCTGCCCCAGGTGATTATGATGATGGATAATTTGGTGGAATGAAGATTGGCAGGGGAAACCGAAGTACTCTGAGAAAACCTGCCCCAGCGCCACTTTGTCCACCACAGATCCCACTTTATCAGACCCAGGCTGCCACGATGGGAAGCCAGCGACTAACCGCTTGAGCTATGGTGCGGCCTAGTATACATATCTTACGGAGTGAATTGATTGAGGCTGTATTCAGAAGGTGCTCGGTTTGAATCTTGGTCAGGACACAGATTTTACATGCTTTTTCTTACTCCCTCCAAGCAAATGCTGGGACAGTGCCTCATATTGGCCACGGCATCTTTCTTCCAAGTCCTTTCCAGTTCATTCATTAACCATCCTGTCATTTTATGGTATATATTCTGAGTTATTGACAGTGTTGTTAAATAAATTAAAAATAAGTAAATATACAGATATGCACATTTTCACACATCATTTGGATCACACTGCAGTATTATACTGTGATGTATTCTGCCACTGAAGATGCCGTTTGGATTGTTAATTGGTTTATTTAACAACCATCTCACACTATCGCCTCTAATCACACATTCAGGTCTTCTTCACGTTCACGATTCACTCACTACAACTGAACTCGGCGACTGCTACAATTCAACTGATTCCTTAGGCATTCCAGTTCTCTTATAAACCCTCAGCCAGGCAGCGGAAAACGCGCCTCGCTTCCCTGTTGCATAATTGCCGTGTTTACAGGTGTTGCTGGGCAATGCTGCCAAGGGTTGTTTATTGCTGCATAGCAACAAGCGTGCTTCAGCTCGGCTCGGCTCACTTCGGCTCAGCTCGGCTAACTTCGGCTCTACTCGGCACGGCATGGAGAAACATTGCTTTCCTTACTGTTGTGTAACCTGGCAACCGACCATTTATCAAGGGTCTGTCTTCATGGTAACTTGTTCCA